GCTCTGTCACTGCAGACCAGGTACAGATTAGAGCCCACACCGATCGACTGCCTTCTCTAAACAAACAGTCCCCACGTAGATGACAAACGTGGCGAAGAGGCAGCCAACTACCAAGACGAAGTTGGCCAAGTTATGATAGTCTGCTAGGTGGTGGCCTGATCTTACCGTTCGCTCAGCCCCATGGGGATTTTATTTGTTATTCGAAGCCATGGATCAATGGACATTCATACCTGATTGAACTAGTAAGTACTTTGCATTTTCCTTCTAGCTGTAAAAGAAATTACATATAACTCCTCCTGTTCTCGCCAGTATAAGTACTGTGCATTGCCTTTTAACCCATATGGATTTAAAAGTAAGAACATTAGTAAATTAGGTTCACACCTTCCCTATCTGTTAACCAAAAGTCACCTAACCGTTTAGTTATGAACTAAAAAAGGCAAAAACCCGTTTTACGCACAATGCACAGCCGTGCTTTTACGCAAGAATCGGAGTAAGGATCGAACAAAAATATCAGCAAAACGTACTTACGACTGTATATGTGAATTAAGTTCGCGGAGAGCTTGTTTGTGAGCAGGCATTCGGGCAACTCTCGGAAATATTGTTTTACAACATCCGCTACATCATAGGGCTGCCATTCGGAAAAGCTGTTCCAGTCTAAAATCAAAAAATAATATTTTAAGCAACAATAGATTTAGAAGAATTGACCTTGCTTTAGTATTATCTAAACGCAAAGAAGAAATGCATGCAAATTTTAAATCAATCTACGGAATCAAGCGACTTAAAAATATAAAATTAGTAAGTTTAAATGATTACACTAAAAGGAAAAAATAAACAAAATGTTTTGTGGATTCTTATGAAAAAAACATCCTTGAGAATACAGAATGTAATGCCAAATCGCACGCACCGAAGATGCAACCAAGAAAAGCCTGGTACAACCTACATTATAAAATTTGCAGACCGTCTATAAAACGTTGTCCGGTTAAATGTACCGTAGTAGATATAAAAGGGAAACGTTAGTCAATAATCAGATTAGTCAGTTAATGCAACGTAGGTAGAGGTCCGTGAAAAATAATGCAAGGTTGTCATTTGACGAAGAAAGGTGAACTTTTAACCATCATGTCAGTTTTCAAAATAACCGGAATATATATTCATGAATTAATTTTTAATCGGTTTGAAACCTAAAATTGTTTTCAAAAATTGAGCCCGTACTCATATTTTGAAGAATCATAAAGAAAATACAATGGTATTTTATTTTTCAAAGGCTATCGTCTGTCTCATGTTGCTGCACTAAGTGATCAAACAACTAATGAAATATGATAAGTCCTTATTTG